AAAAGATGTTAGAGATTAGCCACAAAGGATTAGAACTTTCAATCTCATTGTGTCAGAGCTTTATTTTTCCCCAGGCCAATCTAGGGGGAGGGTTCACCCTAAGGTTTATTGATCACAACCCTTTGTCAACAAAGTAACTAATATTTTGCTAGAGATTAATCTACTTTACCCTTTTCTCCTACAGATTAGGAATATTTTACTATACTTCTACAATACATTTTTCCCTAGAGCCATTTGACTTTTAAACATTTTTTTTCAATGCCCAATAATCACTATCATTGATACCAGTGTTTCCCAAGCGTCTTTAAATTGGGTTACATTATTCAAGTGGTTCTGCAATTGTTAATATGAAATACAGGAATTCAACCATCAACAATGGGCACCAAACTGAAGGTACTGATCTTCAGTCTGATTTGTCACATGCAAGCTATCATTCTCCACTATCTGAGGCATGCAAAAACTATGTCTATTCATTTGGTAAAACATTTCTTATTTTGGTCTTCTTAGTAATTTATGAATACCTTTACATAGCATTCAAACAAAGCTTTGCAGCTATGACAAAAACCAAAGCACATGCAAATAAATCACTGTTCAATTTATAAAAACAGAGACAGAACAACAAAACATTATGTCCCCTAAGACACAATTTCTTGAGAATCACATAATGAAAAACTATGACTTCCTGTTCTATATCCATATTACTCAAATGAAGAAAATGATGACTAGTGACTCACGATTCTATGATTAAGTGTGTTCATTTTTAGTCACTTTTTTATAATTTGTGCATCATAGAAGAAAATTATTTGTGTTTAATGTGACATGGACTATCAAGCTACAGTTAGATTTTGTTTTATCAGTTACAAAATAGATCATTTTATAACCTACTCCATAAATATAATCCTCTGAAATGATCTATCTACCACAATCTTAAAATTTCCATACCAAGTCATACATAGAAAGCATAGACATAAGTTAGAGATCATTATGCATCTAGGTGAAAGAAGGATGGGAGAAAAAAACTCCAAGGCCAATAAAATTCTTCAATACATCATCACTCCAGTAATCCTAACCAAAGGTCAGTGTTGGGTTTTGCTAAAAGTTACCACAGTTTATTAAGTTACATAGGCATTGGGCTTTCTATTCCTTTCCCCTTAAAGTATAAATTTACAAGGCATTAAAAATCTCAAAATTACAGGGGCTGTGGCTGTGGCTCAGTGGTAGAGCTCTTGCCTTGCACATGTGAGGCACTGGGGTCGATCCTCGGTACCACATAAAAATAAATGAATAAAGATATTGAAAAATATATATTATTTTTAAAAAATCGCAAAATACAAATTGGGATATATCCTACTACTGTGTACAGTCAAATACAAACATGAACAATTTGGAACAGGCAGAAATCACTTCACATGGACAGACAACTTGGGAACTACACTCCTGCTAAATGGTTCCCATCAAGACAAACACCATTAAGACTTGAATTTTCACATCTAAAATTATAAAATACCAGTTTAGGTTTTCCAAAGAATTCATGTCTTTTCTATCTTCCTGGCTTTGAGTGAACAGCTGTTTACCCCCACCCTCACCCTCACTTACTTGCATTCACCTTTAGACACACTATCCCTCCTGTATACTAGCTCCCCATTTTACCATTTCCCTGGTGAATAGGCCTACATCACCCTTCTCCCTATAGGCTTATTCCTTCCCCTACCTCTTATCTCATGCTCACATTTATCTCCTCATGCCTACTACCTGCCACATATTTATGATGTGTAAGCACATGCTCTTTGGATTCAAACAGCTTGCATTTTAATCAATCTTTGTGACTTATAAGCTGTATGATGTTGAGAAAGTTGTTTAAACTCTCTGAAGCTGCATTTCCTTCTTTGAAAAATACAGATAATCATAAGACTACTGTCAATAAAATACAATATGTGCCCAACACACAAATGTTCCAACTGGATATTGTTATTATCTATCAAGAATTAATTGCAAAGACCAATGTACTTATATTTATTTCTAAATTTCTGATAAATGCTACTCCTCTCTACTGGGGCAGAATTAGGTATATGTTTGAAAAATTGTTCTATTTTTCACATTGGGCTATGAGGTACAGGAAGTCTTGGGCTACAACTCAAATTAAGTTAATATCATCTTATTAATTACCACAGATCCAGATCTACCCGTGCTCAATTACAGATATAATATTGGTTATTTTATGACATCCAGCAGGAAGAGTTAGAGAACAATCAGATATTAACAATCCATAGCTAAAAGACTATTAAATATTCTTCAGACAACTACACTCAGTCACTTATAAGAGTATCTCATTTTATGCAATTATTTGGTTCCACCAGGATATTTGCCTCAAATTTTCCAAGTCATTTGTTAAAAACAGCAATGTCTCAATCTTAAAGAAAACTTCAGTATTGCAAAATGAGGAATCTCTTTCTGAAGTAAATAATCAACATTCCATTTATGTTTTTGTACATTTTAGTATAATTTAATAGTTCTGTAAGATTATAACAAAGCAATGATTATTTTGGCAATATGCAATATAATTTTGATAACAAGTTCACATTAACTGTAATTAGAGCAAAATGAACAAATATTTAATTATCCATGAGAAAAATAAAGAACTAAACACAAACAACAAAAACTATCTTTTGCATACTCTTCTACAAAGGAGTCCAATAAAGGAAATTTAAGTGTCAGTCACTTCTAAGGCTCTCAGACATTTAAAACTTAAGAAAGAGAGAGGTGCAGTTGTTCTTATTTGAATAGAAATTCTGAAAACACTTTCTTCCTCAATCTACTTCTGAGGGAGGGGTAGAAGAGAGAGAAAGCAAAGAAGAAATAGCATTATTGAAGCTGTATGACCCCAAACTAACTGCCTGATCTGCTCAATCTAATTAGGGATTTAAATAAAGGCATTAAGCTGGTCTAATTATTCTATTAGATTGAGACTCTGAGCAATTCAAATTTTACTTTACAATATCAGTAAAGCAAGAGGCTTCTAAAATGGGTACAAAGGAAATACAAAATTTTCTTTTTATTTACCTGAACCTTGCTCAAAACATATGATTAAGTTTTCTGATATTTCAAAACTGTCTAAACACACCCACACATAGTAGCTGGAGATGACAAAGTTCAAAGTTCTTGGATTTTACATATCCTTCAGTTCTATTCAGCCTCCTTTATAGATATTAATATATACAGAACAAAAACCAAATAATCACAACTCAGAATCAAACAGTTGCTCTAAAGCTCAAGGAGAGGGAGAAGTTACCTACCTCCTACATCCAGAATCCCTATATCTGCTACTCCCACTTTTGGCTTTTCTCTTGAGTTACAAAAAAGAGAGACATTCATTTAATGTGCATAAATATTCAGCTTTCCTCTTATTTTAGAGTGTTCTTCCCAGAGCTGCTGAAAGTTGTTATTTTAAGTAATTAGCAAATGGATTTTGGGGAAATATCCTATCATCTGAAGGGCAGCAACTCAGCTTGCCACTTCAGAAGAAGCCACTTGTTAGTTCCATTTCCAGTTCTGTATATGTTTAAAGCAGTTAGGAAATATTATAAGTAAAATCTTTTGAAAGAAAAAAAGTCAAAACAAGAAACAATACCGGACAGCACGTTCCATGTGACATTGATGTGGGGAGGAAGAGAAGTATGGGAGGATAGGGAGATGGGCCTCTGGATAACTTCCTGGGGAGTAGAGCACAAAGAGCACCTGCAGATGTTTGCTAAGAAACTTACCAAAAGGCTTTCTAAAGAAGAAAAAAATGCCTGACTGATGTTTTGATTGGACTAGAGGATGCAAGAATGCCTCCTGGACACTGAATATCTCACCCAGGATTGGGTAGGGGACAGACTTTCCTAAACCTATATATCTATATAAACCCATAGACAATAGCCACTCTTAGGTATTCCATTCTTGGGACCCCCTCCCTTTTTGTGAACTCTGCTATCACTCTAATCAATCCTGTTACTTTGCTCTCACCCTTGTGTTCCATGGATTTTATTGTTCATATTCATAAGACAAGGGACCCAACTCCATGTTCCGTGCTACACTAAGTTAAAAAATAAACAGCTTTGTATTATTGTCCCCAACTGCCTCCCCCATTTTGTCTAATTCTAACAGGCCTTAAAGTGAAGTTAAATATCTTCTACACACTCTCAAAATAACTCTATTATAGGGGTCTCACTCTCAAAATAATCCCAATGTCTCCATAGGCCTCCATTCAATCCCCATCATTAACAGCATATGTACCCCCATCCTTTACAGAGCTGCAGTCCTACCCTTGTCTTAGTACCATATTTGTTAAATATCCCACGCCTGAAACTCATGAGTGTGATTTTACTTGACTTCTTTGCCTAATCCTAAAGACCCTATACCACCATCTCCCATTTCCCAAAACTCGGTCGGTATCTTTTTTTTTTTTTTTTTTTCAGAGGAGAAATGTAGCCCCAACGCAAACAAAGCTGAACTCCACGGAAAAATGAAGTCGATGCAACAAAGGAAGAAATGGAAGAAGGGGGGGTGAGATGGGGGATGCGTGTGTCTTCCAAAGGAGAAGCTGCCTGAAGAACTTCTGCAATTTAACGGTTCTGGGGCAGAAGAGGTCTAGTGTGTAAGAAAACAAAAAAGGTGGGTTCCCCACTCTCCTTACCGCCGTAGAGCCAGAAGAAGATGCAATGTATACACGAATCACCATCACGAACAGCGGCTGGCGGTTGTTTGGGTCCTGGAATGAGCCGCGGAGCAGCTGCAGCAAAGGCTGAAATCCAGCTAGGGGCCAAACAGAGGTTGAAAGAAGAGAGTGGGGGAAGGTGGAAGGGGAATTCGACAGAGCCCCGCCTCCACCCTTAGCTGCTTTCAATGGGCTCAGAGCACTGCAGTCCCAGCCCCAAACCCCGGAAGGCACGCCGTTCGCCTCATTTCTAATTTTTTTTTTTTTTTTAAATAGGGAATCTCGAATAGCACCGCGAGATCTGTCGAAACCATTGTTGCTGGGGTTTTTGTTTGTTTGTTTGTTTTTTAGTTTTTTACTATTCCCTCTCCGCAAAGAGGGGAGAAGAAAGAGAAAAAAAAAAAAAAAAAGGAACAGAAAAAGGGATCACTTGAATTGAATTCCATGAAAATGAAGGACCTTTTCCTGTGAAGACGAAAAGTTTTACGCGTAACTTCCTGCTCAGAAATGTACGCAAATCAGAAGGTAGATCTTCCTTAAGAAAGTAAGCTGTGTTGAATCCAAACACTAGTAAGAAAATCCATGCTCTCAAAGGTTTGCTCATTTTAAAACTTCTATCATGTAGTGATTTGTTTTTGTTGTTAGCTGGTTGCAGGTATTGGGCACTGAAGTACTTGGACGATGTCCACAGAGGGTTAAAGAGAAGTTTCAGTTTTCTTAAGCCCCAGAAAAGCAGGATTGGTTTCCTTTTTCAGTTTTGTGTTTTGTAAAAAATAGGGGATCTTGTGGGAATTTGCAGGAGGCTTGATTGGCAAACCCCAAAACAAAGGAGTAAATGGCAAAATGGAAAAAAAAAAAAAAAAAAAAAACAGAAAGAAAGAAAATAAGGTGTAAGAAAGTGTTTTGTTTTACTTTTCAATTGACTAATGAAAAAGAATTTGAAGCATATATTGCTAGAGATGCTGAAATGGTGAAGAGAGATGATTATTTGTATCTCTAGGGAAATAAGCAAACAATTGCTAACATCCAAGGAGGATGGTAAAAAATGTAGTTTTGAATTCCCAGATTATGTCTAATGAAGAAAGAAATGTGCAAGATGAATTACAGTGGAGAGAGGAAATCAGTCACCTCTCCTAATTTTTTTTTTTACTTTTTCTTCGCAATTTTTTCTTCCTGTCCATTCTAGTGGTATACCACCTTTTCCCAGGCTCAAAAATTGCAGTAGCTCTGGGGACAGAACTCAGTTGGTACAGTGCATCTCGCATGCACAAGGCCCTTGGTTCAATCCCCAGCTCAAAAAAAAAAAAAAAGAGAGAGAGAGAGAGAAAAGAAAAGAAAAAAATTGTAGTCGCTTCTTTGCTTCTTAATTGTTCCCTTCCACCGGTTCTTCCTTCTCCATACTACTTAAAATATTAATTCCACATTAATGTTTACATATGGTCCATATCAAAACCTTGAGAGATAGGTACTATTTAATTAATTTTAGAGTTAAGAAACTGAAACTCAGGAAAACAAGTTACTTTTCCAGAGTCATATATCTGGCAACTCCAACTCATTGTCACACACTGCCTGGAACAGGAAAAGTATTCAAAACATTTTAGCAGATTTTCTTCCTAAAATACAACTTTTATATATCTCAGAAAACAATGTACGTTGGATTACTTAATATTGCTCTCCAGTGAATAACAAAACCTAAATTGTATTTCTAGAGAGCTCCTATCATAATCTGACACTACACTATTCACAAAACCTTACCCACTGCTCACACAAATCTTTCTTATATAATCATTGTTGACCTTTTACTATAATCATCTTTCTCATTTTCACTTTCATGCACTTGCTGTCTATCCTTTTCTTTATCTCCTTCATCTTCTCATACCCTCATAACCTTTTCTGATCTCTCCACCTATCCACCTCAATCTTTATTAGACATAATTCAAAATCTTTATAATCAGACAAGTCAGGGTACTATAATCACCCTCCTCATTGCTTCCTTCTGGTTTTAAATTGGCAAAATAGACATAATTTGTCTGATGCTACCACATTACAACCTGACTCCCTTCAGTGGACCACATGTGCTCTCTTTGGACCTGTAGTCTCTTTTAAAGATGAAAAAATAGAGAAAGAAAGAAAATTCCTTCTATTAATTCTACAAACTACAACATGAAATTATCCTCAGAGAATTGAATGGCAGAATTAGCAGGGAGTCTGGTGGACCATGCCTAGGTCATTGAGGAATGGGAAGATGATTTCTGAATTTTTCTTTCCTTTCCTTTTATTTATTTATTTTTCCATGGGGGATTGAACCCAGGGACACTCAACCACTGAGCCACATCCCAAGCGATTTTTATTTTTTTTATTTTGTGACAGGGTCTTGCTAAGTTGCTTAGGGCCTCACTAAGTTGCTCAGGGTGACTTTGAACTTGTAATCCTCCTGACTCAGCCTCCCAAATTGCTGAGATTACAGGCATGCACCACCATGCCTGGCATGAATTTATTTCTTTTAAATAAAGATGTATTAATCTAAGTGAATAGTCCCCAATAAATTGATTTATAAATAAAGTTTGATGGTCCTTGTTAATAGGACTTGGAATGCAGTTTGTTCAAAGGAACTTTACCAATATGTCTATCCTAGATGTTGACATTATGCAACAGTGGTCCACTTCACCTTATCAATATACCCATCATTACTTACTTTTTAAAAAATATTTATTTTCTAGTTGTATGTGGACACAATATATATATATATATATATATATATATATATATATATATATATATATATATTTATTTATTCATTTATTTGTATGTCGTGCTGAGGATCGAATGCAGGACCTTGCACATACTAGACAAGCGATATATTGCTGAGCCACAACCCCAGTCCCTTCATTGCTTATTTTAGTTTTTATTTATATATGAAAACAGTATGCATTAAATTTTTTATTACACTTATAGAGCATAATTTTTCATATCTCTGGTTGTATTCAAAGTATATTCACACCAATTTGTGTCGTCTTACCTGTACTTTGGATAATAATGATCATCAGCTTCCACCATCATTAATAACCCCATGCCCCCTCCCTTCCCCTCTGATCCCTCTGCCCTATCTAGAGTTCATCTATTCCTCCCATGCTCCAGCTCCCTATCCCACTATTAATCAGCCTACTTATATCAAATAAAACTTTTGGCATTTGATTTGGGGGGATTGGCAAACTTCACTTAGCATTATCTTCTCTAACTCCATCCATTGACCTGCAAATGCCATGATTTTATTCTCTTTTATTGCTGAGTAATATTCCATTGTGTATGTATGCCACATTAGTTTTATCTATTCATCTATTGAAGGGCATCTAGGTTGGTTACACAGTTTAGCTATTGTGAATTGTGCTGCTATAAACATTGATGTGTCTGTGTCCCTGTAGTATGCTGTTTTTAGGTCCTTTGGGTATAGACCCAGGAGAGGGATAGCTGGGTCAAATGGTGGTTCCATTTCCAGATTTCCAAGGAATCTCCATACTGCTTTCCATATTGGCTGCACCAATTTGCAGTCCTACTAGCATATATGAGTGTACCTTTTTCCTACATCCTCTCCAACACTTATTGTTGTTTGTCTTCATAAAAGCTGCCATTCTGACTAGAGTGAGATGAAATCTTAGAGTAGTTTTGATTTGCATTTCTCTAATTGCTAGTGATGATGAACATTTTTTCATGTATTTGTTGATTGATTGTACATCATCTTCTGAGAAGTGTCTCTTCAGGTCCTTGGTCCATTTATTGATTGGGTTATTTGTTTTTTTGGTGCTTAGCTTTTTGAGTTCTTTATATAACCTAGAGATTAGTGCTCTATCTGATGTGTGAGGGATAAAGATTTGTTCCCAAGATGTAGGCTCTCTATAGACCTTACAGATTGTTTCTTTTGCTGAGAAGAAACTTTTTACTTTGAGTCCATTCCATTTATTGATTCTTGATTTTAATGCTTGCGCCCAGGAGTCTTATTAAGGAAGTTGGGGCCTAATCCCACATGATGGAGATTAGGGCCTACTTTTTCTTCTATTAGACACAGGGTCTCTGGTTTTATTTGTAAGTCCTTGATCCATTTTGAGTTGAGTTTGGTGCATGGTGAGAGATAGAGGTTTAATTTCATTTTGTTGCATATTGGTGCACCATTTGTTGAAGAGGTTATTTTTCTCCACTATGTTTTTGGAGCCTTTGTCTAATATAAGATAACTGTAGTTATGTGGATTTGTCTCTGTGTCCACTATTCTGTACCATTGGTCTACATTTCTATTTTGGTGCTAATACCATGCTTTTTGTTACTATTGCTCTGTAGTATAGTTTTAAGGTCTAGAATAGTGATGCCACCTACTTCACTCTTCTTGCTAAAGATTGCTTTAGCTATTCTGGGTCTCTTATTTTTCTAGATGCATTTCATTACTTCTTTTTCTATTTCTATGTGGAATATTATTAGGATTTTGATTGGAATTGCATTAAATCTGTATAGTGTTTTTGGTAGTATCATCACTTTGACAATATTAATTCTGCCTATCCAAGAACAAGGTAGATCTTTCCATCTTCTAAAGTCTTCTTTAACTTCTTTCTGTAGTGTTCTTTTCCTCTTTCATTAAGTTGAATCTCAAGTACTTTGGGTTGTTTGAGGCTATTGTTAATGGGGTAGTATGTTCTAACACTTTAAATTGCCATTAGCAAGAGAGTTTTTCCAAATCATCTAGTCCACCACTTTCAGAGGCAGAAATTTCTCTGTTTAAACTTATGAGAAAATAAAAATTGTATTTATCTCACAATACAAAAAGACTACAAGATTACAATTAAGAAATGTTTAATGAAATATCTACAAAACACTACCATGTCAACTTCATAAGATACTAAATTTAGTATTCACAAACATTTCATTTAATTTTGAAAAAAATTTAGATTTAAAACTTTAAAACTTTTTTTCCACATCAGCAGTATTCCCAGGTATCCATAATGGCTGTAGAGAAATCACTGTTAAGCATTATTTAAGTGAATTGCTATGTCCAAATAATTTAAAATTGAAAAATGAAGTTATAAAAATGTTAATAATGTTAATAAATGTTAACAACTTACTATTTATATTTAAGTAAGATTGTGAGCATATTTGCATTTTCTTATGTTTATACACTATGGAGTGGTAATTCCAAACATGAATGCCTGGAGTCTTGATCCTCTTCAGAGCCTTGATTGTTGGATGAGCCACCAAAAATGTCAGTCAATGATTCCCTGGTTTCCACTTTTCTTCTTTCTCTGACAGACTGTAGATAAAGAATATAACACAAAACACATTAACATATAGGTATCTAAATTATACACACTTAAAATATACTGCATTTTGAAACCTTCCTTTTGTTCATCCCAAGGGTCAACAGAAAGGCATTATCTGTGATGGAGCTAGTGTAAACTAAATACCAGAAAATCGTGCTTAAGAGTTCTCACCCTGTCTCTGTCACCTGCTATATGGTAAAGTGCATCAGAAAGAAGCAACTTTAGGACTCTGTGCCAGAAGATATCTTACAAGTATGGTGTTCTGAGTTCTGATCATATCCAAAGCTCTGTGTTCATTGTTAAGGCCACTAGAGGGTACAATTCACCCATGGAAAATAAATGTGCTGGTGTTTGACAAAGCAAGACAGGAATTTTAACAGCTCTGTACAGAATACCAACAGAGGAATAAAATGTCATTTTGTATGTTATCCCTGATAAGTTCTAATATCTCAGGGAATAATGACTATTTATAAAATCTTCTGGTGCTTAGAGTAAGGGCCTTGACCCACTTTTCTTTCTTTAGATATCACTGATTACAGAAAAATAGTGAGTAAATTCAGTTCTAGTTAGGAAAAGATGAAATGGGGCTATGGTGAAAGAAAATTTCTTGGGTATTATTTCTTTCCAACAAAGGTTTGTTTTGAGACCTCTTTCTCAAATGCATACACACACATGATAAACCAAAAAGTACCTAAAAGGTCATTCCATCTAACCATTTAATTTTCCACAAAACCCTACCAATAATAACACCATCAAGTGGGCATCCAAAGATAAATACCAGGCTGGGGTTGTGGCTCAGTGGTAGAGTGCTCACCTAGCACATGTGAGGCACTGGCTTCAATCCTTAGCACCACATAAAAATAAATAAATAAAACAAAGGTATTATGTCTATCTACAACTAAAAAATATTTTTAAAAAAGTTAACACCTGGGGCTGGGGCTGGGGCTCAGCGGTAATACACCTGCCAGGCATGTGTGAGCACTGGGTTTGATTCTCAGCACCGCATATAAATAAATAAAATAAAGATCTATCAACAACAACCAAAAAAAATTTTTTTAAAGTTAATACCTGAGAACACCTCCAGTTACACTGAACTCAACAATTTCTGAGGCATTCCCGCTCCATTTTTAAAAATCAGATCTAAATATGTGAAAAGGCTTTCCTAAAGTTAAGCTGAGATCTATTTCCTTATGTCTTTTTGATACTAATAATTCCTAGTTATAACTTATCTCTGTATTTGTGTGGGAAACTTCTGGGCTCCAATTTAAAATTTCCAGCTTCTCTATTTTTCAGATGTGTTTATATCTAGAGATCTTTCTTCTAAATATGTTTCAGTTTTTACTTTTCTCTCTTCTACAAGGTTGTGGTCCCTAGAAATATAGTGTGACTAGCATCATGTATGGGATTCTCTCTCTAAGTCTTGTGCTTCTCTTTTAGCACCCCATTCGGTGTGGAATAGTATTTCTTTGTGATTTTATTTTATATTTCCCTAATCATTAAAAAGCTGTGCATATTTTCTTTTTTCCTTCAATCATATTTTTTTGTTGTTGTTGTTTCAAGACAGAGTCTCACTAACTTGTGTAGGGCCTCACTAAATTGCTGAGGCTGGTCTTGAACTTATGATCCTCCTGTCTAATTATAAATTTTAAAAGTTTTATTGGCAAGTATTAGTTGAGCATATTAATGGTGTTCAGTGTGATATTCCAATACATGTATATAGCATACACTGATCAAATTCAAACATCATTTTCACACCCTTCCCCCAACAACTTTTCCAATTTCCAGTAATCCCCATTCTACTTATAAGTTGAATTTTTTAGCTTCTACATATGAAAGAAAATGCGGTACTATAATGATCAGTAGTATCATACATTTTTCTGCAAATGACAGGATTCCATTCTTATTTAGAGTTGAAAAATACTCCACTGTGTATAAATACCACACATTCTTTATCCATTAACGGGCACCTAGTCTGATTCACATCTTAGCTATTGTGAATAGCTGCAGCAAAAAAACATGGGCATACAGATCTTTGGTATGCTGATTTCATTTCTTTGCATATAAATATACAAGTAGGATAAGTGGTATGTTCATTAGATTTTTGTCACTGTGTGACAAAATGCATGGTAAAAACAACCTAAATGAGGTAAGATTTTATCTATTTTGGCTCAAGATTTCAGAGGTTTCAGTTCAGGTCAGCTGGTTCCATTGCCTGGGGTCTGAAATGAGGCAGTAGGTAATGGCAGAAAGGAATGGTGGAAGAAAGCTGCTCACTTCATCACTGAGAGGAAGGGAGAGTCCTGGGATAGAACATATACTTCTAGGCATGTCCCCCAGTCACCTACTTCTCACAACTAGACACCCACCTTTACAGTTTCCACTACCATAATGCCATTAATCCATTGATGAGGTCAGAACCCTCATGATCCAATCACTTCCTAAAAGCCCCACCTTTGAACATTGCTGCATTCGGGACCAACACTTCAACAAATGAGCCTATGGTGTATATTCCAAGTCCAAACCATAATAACTTATCATAAGTTAGATCTAGTTTTAGTTTTGACGAACCTCCATATACACTGTTCTCTCTAATAGCAGTAATAATTTATATTACCATCAGTAGTAAAGAAGAGTTCCTTTTTCTCCAAATCCTCATCAGAATTTTTAAAATAATAGCCATTCTTACTATAGTAAGATAGTATTGTGATTTGATTTGAATTATCCTGATGGATAATTATATTGAGATTTTTTTTCATATATTTGTTGGCTACTTGCATTTCTTCTTTTGAGAAATATCTATCCAGGTCATATGGCTTTTTTAAAAAAAATATTATTTTAGTTGTCAATGTACCTTTATTTTATTTATTTATATGTGGTGCTGAGAATCGAACCCATTGCCTCACACATTCTAGGCAAGCACTCTGCCACTGAGCCACAACCCCAGCCTCAACTGCCCATTTTTAATTGGATTACTTTATCATTGTTATTAATTTTTTTGAGTTATTTATATATTCTGGATATTATCCCACTGTCGGATGACCAGTTGACAGATATTTTTTTTTCCCTTTCCATGGGTTATCTCTTTATTCTGCTAATATTTTAGTTTGATGTAATCCCATTGGTCAACTTTTGTTTTCTGTGCTTTTGGTGGTCTTATAAAAAATCATGTCTGTACCAATATCACAAACATTGTAACTAAAATAGCATGGTATTATAGTATAAATAGACACATAGACCAAATGACATAGGGCAGAGATCCCAGGAAAATACCCATGTATCTTTAGCAAACTGATATTCCTTCAATTTCTTTATTTTTCTTTCTTTCTGTCTCTCTATTTTTTTTTTTTGGTGCTGGGAATAGAACTCAGAACCTTACACCTTACACATGCTAGGCAAGTGCTCTACCACTAAGCCACATGTCTAGACCTAATTTTCAACAAAAGGACTGGAAACATGCATTTGAGAATGAATAGTCAATAAATGATGCCTAGAAAATTGTATATCTATATGGAGAAGATTGAAATGACTGCTATCTTTCACCAAGCACAAAAAAATCAACTTAAAATGGATCAAAAGCCCAAATGTAAAGCCTGATGTTCCAAAACTACTAGAAGAAAGCATTGAGGGTATATTTCAAGCTATTAGTACATGCAATGTGCACCTTTTCACTCATATACACACATACATATTTTTGTTTGAATATTTTCTTTTTTAGAATATTGTCTCAGAACTCTTTGTATATTTTTCTATTTGTTGTCTTTCATTATTTCCATTCCTAATAGAGGCCTTTTCTCATTTGTGTGCTTCAAGTAAGTTCTTCAAGCCTCAGGTTGGTCCTCATACTTTTTTAATGACATCATTTTACAAATGCTGGTTCTTAATTTCAGAATAGTTAAATATATCAATCTTTTCCATTATGATTAGTTCCTTTTGTGAATTGTTTAAAATGTCTTTCCAGACTCTGAAGATATGAAGATATTTTATTTATATTCTTTCATAAAAGTTTTATTGTGGTACTTTTTATTTTGAGATCTGCAATCCATCTACAATTGATTTCTGTGTAAGATTTGAAATATGGGACAAATTCTGTTTTGTTTTGTCCTAGTAGATACTCCATTATTTTAGCACTAGTAATTGAAAGAAAAATCCATTTCTCACTACTTTGCAATACCCTCTCTGTCAAAATGAAGTGATTATACATGCATAAGTCTCTTTCTGGCTTCTGCTCTGTTCTATTTGTCTACATATCTACTTTTCTGCCATTGCCACACTATTGTAATTACCACAAATTTAAATATCTTGAAATCTGTTATAGAAAATTCCAATACTTTGGTATTTTTCATAAAGTATCATGACTGTTCCTACTCTTTGTAGTTCCTTTAAAAAAGTTAGTATGTGGGCTGATGTTGTGGCTCAGTGGTGGAGAGCTTGCCTAGCACGTGTGAGTCCCTGGGTTAAATCCTAAGCACCACATAAAAATAAATAAATAAATAAAGTTTTTTTTTAAGTTAGTATATAAAACTTCAATATACAAATATTATTAATTTTTAGAGTGACCTTGTATCAGTGATTTTCTAAACTCTTGTTAATACTAATAATTTATTATATATTCTTTAGTATTGTATTTTCTATTTACAGTTACATTTCTCACAAAAAATGGCAGTTCTGTTTTTTTTTCATTTTGAACATCATACCTTTTATTTATTTTAATTTCTTTGTTATAGTAACACCTGCAGAACAATTATTCCTCTTACTATTGTTGTGTACAAACAATTCCAAAGCTTAGTGGAATGAAATAACAATATTATTGTGTTTCAGATTATGTGATTAAGTAATTCAGCCAGGGCACAATGGTAACCATTTGACTTGTCTCTACTGTAAGTAGGACCTCAGCTGGAAAACCTTCAAAGCCTAATAGCTGGAGGTTGAAACCTTCTGTAGGCTCATTTATTCATGTTTCTGGTGCCTGTGCTGAGATGTTTTAAACAGTAAGCTCAGATGTAAATGTTGACTGGAGTGCCCACATGTAGTCTTATTATGTCACTTAGGCTTTCTTATGACATGATAGCCTCTGATATCTTTTCTTCTCATATTTCAGCTCAGAGCCCAGCACACAAGATAGAAACTGTTTTTATGACTCTACCTCAGTAATATCATAGCATCACTTCTCCAAAGAGCTATACTGAAGAAACAAGGGAAGCAAGACTTAAAGATACCACAAAGTTACTTTTAAGATGATGTAGGATTGCTTCAAAGGCAAAGGTAATTTATTATTGAAATAAGATAACATCATTTGGAGTCTCATTTTGAGTACAGTAGTTACATCTCGATTCAGCCACTCAATCCAAAATAATCTTATTTCACTTAGCATGATAATCTCATGAGATTATCCCTTATATATCATCCCTTGTATAAGTCCCTTATATATTAATATGAAATTTGAGAGATTATCATGCTAAGTGATATAAGCCAATCCCAAAAAACCAAAGGTCAACTGTTCTCTCTGATATGTGGATGCTAACACACAACAAGGGTGTGGGGAGAGGAGGAACAGAAATTCAGTGGATTAATCTGATTCAAGTATATGATATGTCAAGATCATTGCACTGTCATGTGTAACTAATTAAAACAAAGAAAAAAAAGAAATTCAGTGGATTAGACAAAGGGGAATTAAGGGAAGGGAGAAGGAAAAGAATAAGAAAGTGCAATGAATGTGACATAACTTTCTTATGTATACATATAAATGCACCACAGTGATCTCAATATTGTGTACATCCACAGGACTGGGATCCCAATTCAAATAAGATGTATTCCATGTTTGTAAAATATATCAAAATAGAATCTACAATCATGTATAAACTACAAAGAACAAATTAAAAAAGAAAAAACTTAAAAGGAAAAAACGTTTTTTAAAAAGAAGTTAATTTCCTACTATCCTAATATTATTTTATCTTATAGATTTTATATAGTATAAAATAATTATAGGCAGGGGTGTGATACACAACTATAATCCCAGAGGCTCAGGATGCTGAGACAGAAGGATCAGAAGTTCAAAGCCAACCTCAGCAACTTAGAGAGGCCCTAAGGACTTAGTTAGACCCAGTTTCAAACTAAAAATAGTATAAAAAAGGCTGGGGTTAAGCACCTCTGGGTCCAATCCATGATACCAAAAAAACCCCAAAATAATAATAATAATTACAGGTTTGATCTACTTGTGTATATTTTGTGTAAATTACATGTCGCCTACATGTCCATTCATTTCAAAGGATCATGCTCTTCAAAATACATGAGTCATGCAGATATCACAGTTCTTGGCTAATTTTGATATTTATATTAGAAAAATTTTGTTAAGTTTACTGTGTAACATTAAATATAAGATAGTCTCCTTTAGACATCCTATTTAAAGGAGAAAAGATGTGAATGAAAATAGTTAAAAAACAGCTAAGATATGGTTGGGCTAGGTGGCTTATGCCTGTAATCCCAGCAGTTTGAGAGATTGAGATAGGAAGAACACAAGTTTGAGGCCAGCATCAGCAACTTAGCAAGACCTCATTTCAAATTTAAAAAATTAAAAAGTGATGAGGATTTAGCTCAGTGGTACAGTGCCCCTAGGTACAATCTCCAGTATAGAAAACAACAAAACTAAAACAGCCCAAATATACATATTACCATCAGAGGAGCACAAATAGTATTATTGCTTACTAATTAGAAAAAAGGAGATAGAGACCGTAGAAAGCTAATGTCAATGTGCTGAAAGAAAGTTAATCAATATAGAGTCTAAAGCCAACACAAAAGTCCCTTATATATTAATATGAAATAAAGAGGTGCTGAGGTTTTAGCTCACTGGTAGAGCACTTGCCTAGTGTATATGAGGCACTGAGTTTGATCCTCAGTACCACATAAAAATAAATAAGTAAAGGTATTGCATCCATCTACAATTAAAAATATTTTTTCAAACAATTAAGTCATTTTCAAGGGTGGGGCTAGGGCTCCGTAGTAGAGTGCTTGCCTAGCATGTGTGAGGAACTGAGTTCGATTCTCAACACAACATATAAATAAATGAAGGCCCATCAACAACTAATAAAATATTTTAAAAAAAGAAAAGACATTTTCAGATAAACAACACAGAATTTTTCACTATAAGTCCCACACGAATTGAAATACTAAAGGAGGCATTTCATGGAAAATAAAGATTATAAATGAAAACTGAGATGCAGCAAGTACTGAAGAGCCAACAGAATTACAAATATTTCAATAAATCTGAAGTGAAGAATGACTTTGTAAAACAATGATAATATCTTGCAGCTTTAAATATGTATACAACTAACAGAATTGAGAAAAATTATAAGTTATATGTGTAATTACAAACCTTCCCATGAAGTAAACAATAGACACAGATTATTTCTTTGGAAAATTCTACAAAATGTTTATGGAATAAATAATACCAATTTTGCCCATATTCTTTCAGATAATAGAAGAAGAGAGATAGTTCTCAATCACTTCAAAATCAGCTTAGTATTAATTCTAAAGTTTAATGAATATATTACAAGAAAAGGAATCCAGGACAGTGGTACTCTTGAAAAACAGAAGCAAAGTTGCTAAACAAAATACTATCAAACCAAATTCAGTAATGTGTGAAGGGTAATTCTTTCTGAGCAAGTTTGGTTATTCTAAACGTTAAGCTGAGCACTGTGTACCAGTTACTAATCCCAGAGGAGGACTCTAATAATTTATGCCCACTTTATCTTTATTTTGAAGTCAACAAGGAAAATTCAATGCAGTCAAGCACTGGATAAAATATATCCAGTGTCTATATAGAAGAAACAAAGATCAGCTTCAATGTGTGTTTGTTCCCCCCATGGCTAGCAGATCCTCCCCAGCCTAAATAGGATAGTTGGTTAAGTACATACTTTTGTGCCTCAGAGGAAGAAGGACAACCCAGGAGTCTGAATTACCATACTGAAAGCTGGAGGCATGCCTGAAGACCATTGATACATATATTTAGCAGAACAAAGGAACATTCATTGAGTATGAGACAGGGAAACATTGCCATACCAGGCAATAAACTTGACATAGGCCATGTGGTCACTTTATCTCTAAGTAATGAAATACTTTCTCCTCAAGATCCATATTTTTTTAATTATTTGTTCTTTTAATTATATATAACAAGAGAATTTATTTTGAAATATTATAAAAGCCTGGAGTGTAACTTCCTATTCTTGTGGTTGTACATGATATGGAGTTACACTGGTCATGTATTCATATATGAACATAGGATAAAATAATGTCTGATTCATTCTACTGTCAGGACTCATTTTTATTAACTGAATGGGGGGGGAAATCAAAAGATTGCAGAAAAGTGATTGTCTTTTCCAAAACTAATAATTCATGGTTGGTTCAATATTTAAAAGTATCCTTGTCTCATTAACCAAAGGAAGGAGAAAAATCATATGATCATCTCAATAGGAGAAATATAATTTGATAAATCCAACAACCCTTCAACATTAAAAAATAGCAAGCTAGAAATAAAATAGACCTTCTTTAATATGATCAAAGATGTGTACAAAGACCTAAAGTGAAAACAATACTGAAGTTTTTTTGTTGTTTCTGAGAATAGAACATGAATACCTACTATTACCTCTTCTATTTAATATTGTGCTAGCTATTCCAAACAGTACAAGAATATTAACATAAAAGAAAGTAAAAAGGCATAGTGATTGGAAGGGAAGAAATTTCATTGTAAATGATATTTATTTACATACAAATACAAAAATCTCTAGGTAAACTATTTTAAATAATATTTTAATATTATTTTTTAAAATATTATTTAAATAATAAATTTAATAACAACTGTAAACAGTACCATTGTATTGTTAAATTTATTATTTAAAATAGTTAAAAGGTTCTCCAACACATAATGGATATAGAAAATATTTTAAAAACTTAATCATATTTAAAATAACATAAAAACCATATTGAAGGAGAAGAACAAAGCTGGCAGACTAACACTACACAATTCCAAGACTTATGATAAACTACAGTAATCAATACAGTGTGATATTTGTGAAAGAGTAGACTACTAGATTAATGGAACAGAATAGAGACCATAGAAATATACCCAAATAAGTACCATCAACTGTGTCAAAGGAGCAAGGTCAATACAATGGAGAAGACTGTCTTTTCTACAAAATGTGCTGGAACAATTAGACTTCCACATTAAAAAAAATCTAGACACAGATGCTATACCCCTCACAAAAATTAACTTAAAGTGGATCACAAACCAAGATGCAAAACACAAAAGTACAAAACTGCTAAATGATAACAGAAAGTTAAGAACACCTCATATTTGGTGATAACTTTTTATATACACCACCAAAGGCACAATCCATGTAAGAAAAAATTGATATTCTGGGCATCATTTAAAAAAATACTGTTAAGGGACAAAAAAGAATCCACAGACTGGGAGAAATATTTGCAATAAACATCCTATAAAGGACTGTTATTTACACAAAATATAAAAAACAACTCTTAAAATTTAACAATAAAACACAATTCATTTTAAAAATTGCCCAAATATCTTAACAGACCCCTCACCAAAAAATATATAGAGATAGCAAATAAGCATATGAAAAGATGTCCCAGGACATATGTCATCAGATGCAAATAAAAACAATGAGACATTACCACACACCTATTAGAATGACCAAATCCAATACCAATTACTGGTGAGGATGAGGAAAAACAGGAACTGTCATTCATTGTGTGTGGGAGTAAAAAATGAAAGGTACAGTTACTTTGGAAAACAGTGGACATTTTCTTAAAAATAAGACACACTCAACATATGATCCAGCAATCATGCTCCTTGCAATTTACCTAAACTTATATCCACAGAAACCTGTACATGGATGTTTATAGAAGTTTTAGTCATAGTTTCCAGCACTTAAAAGCTACGAAGATGTCTTTCAGTATGTCAGTGGATAAACTACAGTGTATCTGGAAGTAGAATATTACTAGCACTGAAGAGAAATGAGGAATTGAGCCATGAAAAAACATGGAAGAAACTTAAATTCATGATATGAAGTAAAAGAAGCCAGTATGAAAAAGGTACATACTGCATGATGACAACTATAACATTTGGGAAAAGGCAAAACTATGTTTATGGTCAGTGGCTTCCAAGGATTAGAGGGGAGGGGAGGATGAATGGGAGGAACAAAAAGAACTTTTAGAGCGGCAAAACTACTATGGCTTATACTATTATGGTA